TCCCTGCATGGAGCCTGCTTCTCCCTCTGCCTCTCTGCCCCCCCCCCATGAATAAACAGATAAAATCTTTAACAAAAAGCAAAAACATTCCATTCCCCAAAGTGCCTATTTACAATTAATCCTGCCTTGCCACTCCTGCCTCAGGCAACCAATAATCTGCTTTCTGTCTCTAATAATCTGTCAAATCCTGTCTTCAAAAGGATTTGCCCTTTTGAACATCTCCTGTAAATTGAATTATGTTATTTTATTCTCCCTTTAAAGCACCCAGTCACGTCTACAAGTCTAAATGGAGCTCAGGCCTTAGTAATTTCTGAGTGAAATCTGTTTTTGCTGCGTTAATGTCTGGCTTTGTTTATCTGTGACAATCATCCCTGCCCTTAATGCACACAAATATTGTAACCACTATAAAGGTGTCAACAAGGGAAGGAGTGCTACTGGCATCTAGTGGGGAGAGCATCCCTATGCTGCTAAACTTCCTATTATGCACAGAACTGTCTCCCACAATTACTCAGCCCCAAAATGTGAGAATGTTGAGGTTGAAAACTCTGCTCTTGACTAGTAGAACCCAAGTTTTGGGGGTTAAAAGCAAAAATTTTTTAAAGACAAAAAAATTCTACTAGGGATAATAAAGGAAGGGTCCACTCACATTTCCATGGCTTAATTCCCAGACCCATGAATCCTGACTATGGGACGAACAGCACCATATTATTGACTGCTGATTTATAGGATATATCCTCAAAACATCTAGCTAGTACTGAAACTGGGACTCAAGAGAGCATTCTATCATCTTATGTCAGTTGCTTGTTTGTGGGAAAATATATATGATATAAAATTTGCCATTTTAACTATTTTGAAGCAACAGTTTCAGTGACATGAACTACATTCACACTGCTGTGCAACTATCACTGTCTGCTTCCAAACTTTTTCATTGCTCCTAAAAGAAACTATAACCATTAAGCAATAACTCCTTTTCCCCCTCTCCCAGCACTGAAAGCCTCTATTTCTGTCTCTATGATTTGCCCACTCAAGATACTCCATATAAGCAGAAATACAGTGTTTATGTTTTTGAGCCTGGTTTATTTCACTTAGCCTACTGTTTTCAAGTTTCATCGTGTTGTAGCACGTGTCTGAATTTCATTCCTTTGTGCGGCTGAATAATATTCCATTGTATGGATATACCACATTTGATTTATCCAGTACTTGGGATATTTCCACCTATTGGCCCTCCTGCTGCAATGAAAATGAGTATGCAAATATTTGTTTCAGTCCCAGTTTTCAGTTCTTTGGGGTATATACCCAGGAATAGTATTGCTGGGTCATCTGATAATCCTACGTTTAGGCCAGCTGCTTTATAATGATAGAGACATCACTTATCTATTGCTACATAGCAAATTATCCCAAATCTTTGTGGTTTAAAACATGAGGGTGCCTGGGTGGCTCAGTCAAATACCTGCCTTCAGCTCAGGTCATGATCTCAGGATCCTGGGATTGAGCTCCATGCTCAGCAAGGAGTCTGCTTCTCCCTCTCTCTCTCGCTCCCTCTCTCAAATAAATAAATAAAACCTTAAAAAACACACACACATACACAAAACATAAATGAGACAGGGACCTTGGGAAAAAGCCCCTATGCATCGGGCACTCTCCTGGGTGGCTGTTATTACTTATCTTACAGAACAACCTGTGAGCTATTTTTGCTTTTTCTTGCAGAGCAAAGCACCAGGCAAGGAACAAGCCTAGACCAGGTTCAAACTATTCTGAGATAAAATAGGCAGCAAATATACCTTTCACTGACTTTTTCACTCATTATAATGCTAAAGCACACACACAGAGGTGGAGACACATGCAAATGAAATATACGGTATATGAAGAAGCATGTTTTGTCAACTGGGCCTGTGCCCCCAATTTCCTGGAATTCCCTGCCCCTACATCACTCCTTTCCTGCCTCAGTCTCCTTAAAAGTTTCTCTGGCTATTGTTCAGAGAGCCAGTCTGACACTTTTGTCATGACTGTGTCTCCCTTCAGCTGCAGCTGTTGTCCCTATAATAAAACCTTGCCTGTGTTTTTAAATTTGGGGTCCAGCCTCATTTCTACCATTGCTGGGTCCAAAGACCCAAGTCCAGTTACATACACATTTACCTTCTTACATTTTCGTGGATCAGGAATCCAGGAGCTACTTAACTGGGTAGTTCTGTCCCAGAGTTAGGTGCTGGCAGACCAGCTTCCAAGGTGGCTCACTCACATGGGTGGCTTTTCACAGGCTGCAGGAATGCTTTCTGACATGGTGATGGACTTCCCTTCGGGTTGACAATTGAAGAGAGGAAGGCAGAAACTGCAGTGGTTTTTACCACCTAGCCTCAGAAGTTGGGCAGCATCTAACACCTAACACTGTATATGCTAGAAGTCGCTAGATCTAGTCCACATTTAAGGAAAAGGGAATAGGCTCCAGCTTTTGAAGGGAAAAGTGTTATGGAATTTGTGAACACATTTTATTTTTTAAAAAGATTTTTTATTTATTTATTCATGAGAGACACAGAAAAAGAGGCAGAGACATAGGCAGAGGGAGAAACAGGCTCCCCATGGGGAGCCCTATATGGGACTCAATCCCAGGACCCTGGGATCACACCCTGAGCCGAAGGCAGATGCTCAACCACTGAACCACCCATGCATTCCTATATGAACACATTTTATTTATTTATTTTATTTATTTTAAGATTTATTTATTTATAATAGACAGAGAGAGAGAGAGAGAGAGAGAGAGAGAGAGAGAGAGAGAGAGAGGCAGAGACACAGGAGGAGGGAGAAGCAGGCCCATGCCGGGAGCCTGACGTGGGACTCGATCCTGGGACTCCAGGATCACACCCTGAGCAAAGGCAGACGCTAAACCGTTGAGCCACCCAGGGATCCCTTATGAACACATTTTAAAAGTACCACACAATCTATTGATTTTTTTTTAAATTTCAGTAACATATTTTTAACTTCTAAAAGTAGCATATTTTTAACTTGGGGGGGTACCTGGGTGGCTCAAGTGGTTGAGTATCTGCCTTTGGCTCAGTTTGTGATCCTGGGGTCCTGGGATCGAGTCTCCTGTCGGGCTTTCCACAGGGAGCCTGCTTCTCCCTCTGCCTATGTCTCTGCCTCTCTCTCTGTGTCTCTCATGAATAAATAAATAAATATCAATCAATAAAAGCTCTACTTAGTTCTTTTTCAGCTCCTTAATGGCACTTTTTATAGTTTCCTTTTTATCAGGTTTTGCTATATAATAAACTTTAAAAACCTGGTGGCTTAAAACAACTACTTATTTAGCTTACAATGCTGGTCAGCAGTTTGGACTGGGATCATCTGGGAGATTCTTCAGTTGTCCACTGGGTTCCACTGTGTGTCTGTGGCCAGCTGTGTGTTGGCTTGGCTGCTTTTGCTTTTAGGGCCTTGCTGGCTGTTAACAGGATGTTGGTACTCTCTGCCATTTGTCTTATCCTCCACATGTCTCTCTCTTCTCTTCAGCAAGGTGGCCTGAGCTTGTTGTTCTGGAGAAGGCAGGAGTTCAAGACAAAGCAGACACACACATGGCCTCTTAGAGCCTTGGGTTGGCATTGACAGGCCTTTTCTGCTGCATTCGATTAGCAAAAAGTAAGTTACAAATTCAACTTAGATTAAAGAGATTAAATAAAAAGGAGTTGCACTTGACGGGAGCTGCAAAGTCATATTGCAAAGAATGTGGAAATGTAGGAAAATGTAGAGAATTGGGCCCATTTTAAAAATCAATCTGTAGGGGGCACCTGGGTGGTTCAGTGTCTGAGTGTCTGTGGCTCAGGTTGTGATTCCAGGGTTCTAGGATCCAGTCCTGTATCAGACTTCCCGCAAGAAGCCTGTTTCTCCCTCTATGTCTCTTCTTCTGTTTCTCATGAATAAATAAAATCTTTAAAAAAAAATCAATCTGTAAAAGCACTCCTATCGGTCTTAAGAGTTAACTTGCTTCAAGCTTATGTACTCCTTGCTTGCTGACCTAAGTCCCTTGGTCTATAGCAGAAACAGCCTACTTTCCTTGAGATTTGCTGGTGGTTCTCAAACAGCATCTTCCCTGTCCAGCCAAAGCTGGAGGGTTTTAAAGAAGGCATGGGAAAAAGGGAGGGGGGCTACATGAAAAAGCAGGTGTTCAGATGCTTACTTATATATTGAAAAGACACTGATTAGACTTACAGGCATTAGTGGCAGCTATTTTCAAAGGTAGTCAGGCCTTATCTTCTGGGAAAGTTTGGTGTTTCATGCCTCAAGGCCAGTGGTCTCCTGTAAATTTACCACATACTTAGCTTTTTTATAGTTTTTATCTGAAAAGGCTAGTAGCCGATGCCTTTGCAGGTCAGTTTTTCTTGCTATGTTTGCTGGTTTTTTACATATTTTAATTTCCTTCCATGGGCTGGACATTTTATATGAAAATGTTATGTATGGTAATAATCTGAGTTGTATGACCTAGTACTTTCCTCCAAATGGGATAATACCTTAATCCCCAATTTTCCTCTCAGTTTTTAGTAACGATTCTTATACAAAAAGGGACTGCCTATAATATAAACAACAAGAAAAAGTAAACTTCCCTTCAGTTGTCTGGGAAGTGGACCCTGATTCGTGCCGGGAATCAAGCAGTCCCTCCCCAATAGGAGCCAGTCAGGTCACCGGCCTAGCCTACTGTTTGAGGCTTCCTTTTCATTATTCCTGCAATTTCCAGTGTCCCATAGGCATTATAGTAAGGAAAACTCAACAGCTCCGTTTCCCAAATATGTGCTCTATTTTCCTGCCTTGATACAATTCTCTCCCCTAATGAAAGTGAAAGAAGGAGAATCCCGAGGTCGCCGGTTAAAAACTCTAATAGATTGGATTATAGATCAAGAAGCGAACCAGGAAAAAAAAAAAGGCAATCAGACCGGCGCCTGCGCAGAGCCGCCGAGGAGCGAGAGGGCGTGCGCGGGGGCGGGGCGGCGCATGCGCGCCGCGACCTGTGGCCCATGCGCAGTGCCGAGTGCAACCTCCTCTCATGCGTTGGTTGTTACTCCAGCTGCCGGGCCCTCGCGAGGGTGATGGATTTTGAGAATCTTTTCTCCAAACCCCCCAATCCGGCTCTGGGTAAAAAACCGACCGCGGACTTTGATGAAAGGTGATTCCCTGTCTTTTCACGCTTTGATCTCAGGGGCCCCTCCGGGGTCTGCCTTTTGGTTCGGTTCGGAGGCCGCCGCGGCCGCGTGAGGACCACGCCGCGGGGTCGCGGGAGGGCGAGCGCGTGGGGTCCGCCTGGCCGGCGAGGGGTCAGACGTGGAGAGGTCTCTTTGGGGCCGCAGGGATGGAAGCCGGAGATGGGGCTCTCCGTTCGTCAGCCGCCACGGCCAGAGGTACCAGGACCCTGCTGGAGGGGAGCAGCGGGGTCCCGGCGGCGATGCGGTGGGGCCGAGGGGGGCCCAGGATGCTCCCTTTTCTCTGCGCTCCTGACCCGCTAGGCGCGGTTAGAAACCTCCGTGTGTCCCACTGTACTCGTCCCTTCACCAGACCGTCAGCTCCAAGCGGACAGGTTGCTCACTGACACATGCTAAACGCTTTTTTTTTTCTTTTCTTTTTTTCTTTTTGTGGAAAAAAGTCGAAACCCTAAGTTCATGAAGCAACGAGGGTAAATAGTGAATGGTTTACCTTTAGTTCGTTGATTTGTATCAAAAAACCCGAAAGACCATAATAAAGCAGCAAACACCGTTGGGATGTAACATTTCCTATAGGTTGAGAAAGGAACTGACAGCGCTGGCTAAATGGTGCTAGTTTATTGATGTGCTTAGAGACGTGTATAGTGCAGTGTGTTTACACCCAGATATTCATTTACTTTTTTTTTTTCTGTTTGAAGTGCTAAAAACCAACTTCTAAACCTGTTTTTTTTTCCCCCAGTTTCCCTGAGCTGAAACCAAGACACACAGCCTTTTGTTCCCTTTATTTCTCTCATTCTCAGCATATCCATCCCTTATTCTGGTTGATTTTTACCTCGCGATAGCACTCAAATATGTTCACTTCTCTCTGTCACAAATACCTTAAGTAAAATCACTATCTTAATTCAGGCTACTGTCAAGAGTTTTACTAAGGGGGGATCCCTGGGTGGCGCAGTGGTTTGGCGCCTGCCTTTGGCCCAGGGCGCGATCCTGGAGACCCGGGATCGAATCCCACGTCGGGCTCCTGGTGCATGGAGCCTGCTTCTCCCTCTGCCTATGTCTCTGCCTCTCTCTCTCTAACTCTCTCTCTCTCTGTGTGTGTGTGTGTGACTATCATAAAAAAAAAATTAAAAAAAAAAGAGTTTTACTAAGGGCTTTACATGAAATATGTCATTTAATCTTAACCTTGAAGATAAGATCTTGTCCTTGTTTTTGCAGGTGAGAAAATTGAGGCACAGAGAGGATAGATTGCACAGTGTAAGTGGCAGAACTAGGATTAAGTTATCCATGTTTGTGTTTCTAAGGCAAAACAACTAAAATAAAATACGATCTGTAAATATTGAAAAGAGACAAAGACACTAGCTGCAGATTGTATGATCACCTACAAAGGAAGTCAAGCGGAATCAGTTAAACTATTAAAGTACATAAGAGAATTCAGCAAGGTGAATCATCACAAAAAAAGACAATAACTGTGTGTAAGGAAACAATAGCAGCTATCAATTTGGAAATGTGTTGGACCAAAGACTCTATTCACAAAAACTTTACTGAACTACATGAAAGACACTTCTGGATTTTTGCCAAAATGTTAGGTAAAAGAATAGGTCAGTTTCTACATGAAAGACACTTCTGGGGATCCCTGGGTGGCGCAGCGGTTTGGCGCCTGCCTTTGGCCCAGGGCGCGATCCTGGAGACCCAGGATCGAATCCCACATCAGGCTCCCGGTGCATGGAGCCTGCTTCTCCTATGCCTATGTCTCTGCGCCTCTCTCTCTCTCTCTGTGCCTATCATAAATAAAAAAAAAAAAAAAAAAAAGACACTTCTGGATTTTTGCCAAAATGTTAGGTAAAGAATAGTATTGAAGTATGGAAGACATCTGTGAACCATTCTTGTTCATATCCTTTGTCCGTTTTCCTCTTCATTTAGTCTTTCTCTTTAAAATTTTAGGGTCTCTAGTCTGCAGATATTTTGCATCCGATTTATTTGTCTTTTGACTCTGCTTATGGCATTATTTTCATTGCATAAAGGGTTTTTTTTTTTAAATAAGGTCACATGAATAAATCTTTTATGGTTTTTGGATTTTTTTCCTAATAATTTTATGATGGGATTATTCATTTCTTGGGCACCTGCCATTTTCCTAGACCATGGGGCTATAGCAATAAATAAATAAAAGAGATAAACATCTCCCTGAGATTTATATTCTTCTGGTACAGACAATCCATAAATAGTATTTTAAGTGATGATAAATGCCATGGAGAAAAATGAAAGCTGGGTAGGGGGATAGGAAAGGTAGATATTTTATAGAAGGTAGTTAAAGCCTCAGTATATCACTGATAAGTAATATTTGAGTAGGGTGGTGAGGAAGGTTGATTTATAGCAGAATATAAAGGTCTTGAGGAGTGAGCATGGTGTGATTAGGTGATGGGAGCAAAGTGGCTAGAATGACAGTTGGAGTGGACTTAGTGTCGCGGGACTTGAAGAGAAATAGGACTTGAGAAGTACCTGGGGATAAGGTCAGGGAGGCAGATCATGTAGGGGCTTGTAAAGTGTCATAAGAAGGACTTTGGCTTTTACCCTGAATAAGATGAAAGGCTATTTATTGGGAGGATTTCAACAGAGTGACATTTTAGCAGGGTCATTTTGATTGTGTTGAGAGTGGAATATAACAGGGCAAGGGTAGCTTGGATCATGGTATTAGTAGCAAGAAGTGACCAAATACAGATGTATTTTGAAGATAAACTTTATTTTCTCACAGATTGGTTGGGGAATATTAAAAGAAGAGTCTAAGTTGACTTCGAGATTTTGGGTGATTAGAAAGGTGTCATTAGAAGGGTGAAGTTGCTGTTTAAAATACCAGGAGGATTAGGTCAAGAGTTCAGTTTGGGCTCTATTAAAAATATGTCAAGTAGCTATCCAGGTGGATGTGTTGGCTAGGAAGTTGGTCCTGCCTGCCTGAACTCAAATCTCAGCTCTACTAGTTAACTAGGTGTGTGGCAAGTTTTATAAAGCTTTGTGTAATTCCGTTTTCTCATCTGTAAAATGGGCTTCTAAGCCCTAGTATATATGTTATAGGGTTGTTGTGATGTGGATAATATGCATAGAATCGCTTCTGGAACAGGGTAAGCATAATGCAAGTGTCAGCCGCTGCTGTTACTGCTCTTACAGTCATTATCGTCATGATTGCTTTGCCTCAGGAGATGTTGCTTCCTACTCTCTTAGATGATTTATTACTGATAACTGGAGCAAAGAAGGTTTGCAACATTTGGTTTATTGGCTCTTGCAGAGATGGCTTCCATAGAGGCTCACAACTTGGTGCTTTATCTGATAGACGAAACTCAGGCTCTGTCTAGGGATAAATCAATGTTGAATTGGATGAAGCTGTGAAGCCTGAGCTCCTCCTGTAACTGCAAGAAAGCTCAAAGCCACTATTCACATTCTTCTTCTGGTAGTGCATTCCATGTGTAGCACGTTTTTTGAGAAAGTACACATTGCCTTCTTGACTTTATCTGGCATGTAACTCCTATCTTAAGCTTTTATTCAGTAGTCACTGCTTGTCCAGATACAAATGCTTTTAGTCCTCTGTATTTATGGTGTAAGCCATTATTTAGATTTACATATAAATTTCAGTGGCATCTTTGTTCACCAGTTTCTTATATTTCCCATCTTCATCTTTCTTGGGTTCATTTTTCGTTTTGGTAGAGTATCCTCAAATCATTGTCTCAGACAATGTCTCTCTGCATGTTCAACTTCTCAATCCTTGCAAGTCTAGAAACACCTTTCTTTTTCATCTTCCTGCTTGAATATAAGTTAGGTCCTCTCCTGACCTTGAAAGGCACCTTGCATTCTACCTGAAATACTATTCTTCTGTACGTTCCTTTGTTTGCTAACTTCTCTCTCTCTCTCTCTTTTTTTTTTTTTAAAGATTTTATTTATTTACTTGGTAGAGACAGAGTGTGCATGGGGGGAAGAGGGACAAGCAGATTCCCTGCTGAGCAGGGAGCCTGACACAGGCTCCATCCCAGGACCCTGGGATTATGACCTGAGCTGAAGGCAGGTGCTTAATTGACTGAGCTACCCAGGTGCCTCACTAACTTTTTTTTTAAAGTTTGTTTGTTTGTTTTGTTTGTTTTGTTTGTTTGTTTGTTTGTTTGTTTGTTTGAAGTAATCTCTGCACTCATTGTGGGGCTCAAACTCACAACCTGAGGATCAGGAGTGCATGCCCTATCTACTGAGCCAGCCAGGTATCCCTATTTGCTAACCCTTACATATTTTTTAAGCTTAGAAGACTTTGGCCCCCAAATCTAGGTTAAGAGTTCCCCATATATATGTACTATGGTTTTCATACTATATTAAAATTTCTTTTTTTTTTTTTTAAGATTTCTTTCTTTATTCATGAGAGACACAGGCAGAGGGAGAAGCAGTCTCCTTGCAGGAAGCCCAGTGTGGGACTCGATCCCGAATCCTGGGATCACACCTTAAGCTGAAGGCAGACGCTCAACCGCTGAGCCACCCAAGCATCCCTATATTAAAATTTCTGTATTTTTTTCCCTCCCAAGTACATAGGAAGTTCTCAGAAGGCAGGAACAAGGTCTTTTTCATCGTTGTATTCCAGGATTTAAAGCCTACAGCCTTGTATATGGTGGACACTCAATATTTGTTGAATGAATGGAACGATGAATGAATGGGTGGTTTATACAGCTCCTGATAGAACGTGAAGATTATGTAAACTAAAATTTCAGCTTTATGGTTTACTTACAAACACAAGTTGACATGTATGGCCTATCATAAATTTGTACAATATTCCTTGGAGTATTTGGACTAGAATTTGAATTTGGGACTTCTTTGAGGGCAAGTAGAAGATAAGCCAAAGCTGTGAATTTTAATGCTTTAATTTTAAAATGGTATGAACAATTTTCAGGTTGAAAAAACCATCTTGTATCATTTGATGTTTTTGCTGCAGAATCGATGATGGAATAGATGATACAGAAGTTGAAGAAACACAAGAAGAGAAAATAAAATGGGAAGTAAAACTGGAATGTGAACGAATACCCAAAAAAGTAAGATTAAGTTGGCATATTGAAAAAACAGACAGGAGTGAATGTGAGAAATTTATTAGGGGTCCTATTTGTCCCCAAACGGGACAATAGTCAGCATTGGAGACCTAGTTGCCTATATCAAGGAAACCTGATAACACTTAAGAAAATTTATCATTCAGAAGCTTCGGTCATTTAACATGAACTGTTTTAGTGTATTGCTTTTATTTTGGTTTTCCTTTTTTGTTTGTTTGTTTGTTTCCTTTTTTAAGATTTTATTTATTCATGAGAGACAAGCCCAGGCTCTACTCGCAAGTGCATAAAACATCAATGTGTAGTATCATAGCTGATTAAAAAGAGAACACCTAGGTAGAGACTTCGCAAGTCAAGAAACAGCATTACCCTCTGATGCCTCTTTTCTCAGTCATATTCCTTTGTTTCCTACTAGAGATAACTAGAGTTCTAACTTGCATGCTAATCACTTCCTTGCTCTTCTTTAGAGTTTTAGTTTTACTACTAATGCTGTCATCCTTGGGCAGCCCCGGTGGCGCAGCGGTTTGGCGCCGCCTACAGCCTGGGGTGTGATCCTGGAGACCCAGGATCAAGTCCCACATGGGGCTCCTTGCATGGAACCTGCTCTCTCTGCCTGTGTCTCTGCCTCTCTCTCTCTCTCTGTATGTGTCTCTCATGAATAAATAAAATAAAATCTTTAAAAAAAAAATGCTGTCATCCTTAAAAATACAGATTCTCCTTGCCTGTTTTTACACTTTATAGGAAGAGAATAAATAGTATTGTATGTGTTCTTTCTGTTATCTTTTTCTCAACATTATAAGATTCATAGTTGTTGGGGATCCCTGGGTGGCGCAGCGGTTTGGCGCCTGCCTTTGGCCCAGGGCGCGGTCCTGGGGACCCAGGGCTTTCGGTGCATGGGGCCTGCTTCTCCCTCTGCCTGTGTCTCTGCCATTCTCTCTCTCACTGTGTGCCTATCATAAATAAATAAAATTTTAAAAAAAAGATTCATAGTTGTTGTAGCATATACTTTTTTTATTTTCTGAGCTGCAACATATGCCAATATTGAATATACTAGCATTGTTGGTAGACATTTGGTCTGATTTCCATTTTTGGAGGTTATGGGTAGTGCTACTGCATTCTTTCACATGTATCCTGTTGCACAGGTGCTTGTATTTACCTAGGACTAAAACTGCTGGGTCTTACAGTATAAGCATCTTTACCTTTACCTTAATGCCAAACTCTACTCCAAAGTAGTTCTACCAGTTTTTATTCCCAGGGGTAGCGTATGAGAGACTGTATTTCTGTGGCTTCACATTTGATATTGTCATCCATCATGTTTTTTGCCATCTGCTGAAGTAGCTCATTGTAACTAAGCTTGCATTTTTTTGATTACTATTGGGATGGAGCCTCTTTTCATATGTTTGTCCCATTCAGGTTTTTTGTTGTTGTTGTTGCCCTTTCAAGTCTTTCTGTCTTCTTCTTATAATTATTAGTTTCTCTGTGATTGTTTTTTTCTTGATTTACAATTCTTTATTTTTGATTGTAAGGGGTTTTTTTCCCCTTCATTGTGGATTATGTATTGCAAATACTTGCTTATTTTGTGGCTTTACATGATGGTATTTTTTAATTAAAAGTTCATAATTTTAGTGTATTCAAATTTATTAACCTTCTTTGTAATTAGTGTTTTCTGTCTTTTACTTAAATATCCTTAGATAATAAAAATATTTTACTGTAGTCTCTTCTAAAAGATTGTTTTGTTTTTCACATTTAAATTTATAGTCATCCATAATTTATTTTTGTATCTGTATACTGTGAGGTAGGGGTGACAAATTCTGTTTTACTTTTTTTTCCTGTTGTCATACTCAGTTGTTCTGGCACCATTCATTGAGGAAAAAGAATCATTTTTTCCCCTGCTGGTCTATTATAAAAAAATCAAATGTTCATGTTTGATGTGTTTGTTTCTGGGCTCTGTTCTCTTCCTCTGGTTTATCTGTCTAGCCCTCCCCCAAGATCTCACCATGTTAATTATTGCAGCTTTATAATGAGTTTGGATGAGGGATCTCTTCTGGACAGCAGGGTAGAACTTCTATTGTAAGTTGAGCAGATAGAGTATATTTCTGATGGGGCTTGCTCCCAAATGCCAGGATGTAGAGGACTTCACTCTGTGGTCTTAGTACCCACATAAGAAGACTGAGCTTTTATCAGACATTTTATTCAATTTCTTTATTCTCTTTTTTGCCTGTTTGAAAGTATTCTAGTGAAGGACAGGGCAGAGAGAATTTGTTACAATAGCTCTATCTGTTTTTATGTAGAATTTTTTTTTTAATTTTATTCATTTATTCATGAGAGATACAGAGAAAGAGAGGCAGAGACACAGGCAGAGGGAGAAGCAGGCTCCATGCAGGGAGCCCAATGTGGGACTCGATCCCCAGACCCCAGGACCACTCCCTGAGCCAAAGGCAGGCGCTAAACGCTGAGCCACCCAGGGATTCCCTGTTTCTATGTAGAATTTTAATTCATCCTCTTTATAGTCCCATTCTCACACTCCAGCCGAAGCCCAACCTCCCAATTATAACTTCTGTTTTTCAAAAATTTGCCAAGAATTTGTTAAACTTTTCTCAATTACTGATGAATGCACTTCATGGCCCCCCTACCCCCATTAATATTAGGGATCTATTTTTACATTTTTGTATTTTTATTTGGTATCTCAGGAAGCCATACTACCTCAATAAATCATCCTGAATTAAAAATCATTTGCTTAGAAAAACCCTTTATTTAGACTTCTTCATTAAAGAGAAAAAGTTATAGTATATTTGTATACTTTCTAAATTATATAGAAAACAACAAATATCAAAGCAATGAGTTTATAGCTAGTTGCATGAAGAAAAGTATTAAAGCAGTCATTTGTATTTTGTGTATTTCATTGCCTTCTGAAAAGTCAATTAGTAATATTCATCTCTAAGTATAATAAAACAACATAGTTAATGATTATTCTGGTTTTGTTCATGTTGCCATGTCATTTCATCTCTTTATTATAAATAAATCAGACATGTTATCACCTGTTAAAGGGGGTCTGCTTTGGTACATAATTTTATGTGTAAGTGAGCACTAACCACTCATTTGGATCATTGTGTTATTTTGATTCAGATATACTGAATAGAACTCATCTCTGTGTATTTGACTAAGCCATACTCCATGGGAGCTGTTGCGTAATTGAATGACTCTCCCTGTGCCCACTAAATAAAATTAAAGGCCCAAACCATGGTAAACATAATAATTATCACAGGAGTTAGCCGGCTTTTTCATAAAGGACCAGATAGTGCATCTTACCGTCTTTGTGAGCCATACTGTCCCTGTCACAAATAGACAGGTGGAGATAACACAGAAGTGAATGAATGGGTATGACTGTGTTCCAGCAAAACTTTGTTTAACAAAAACAGGAGGCCAGGCTGACATCTGCCAACCCCTGACCAGAAGTTATGTTTACAAGTTTGTTCCACGGTATTAGTTTTAAAAGGTACTCTTTCTTGAAAACTTGGAGACAGGGAACTTGATGGCGTGATATTGTTGGATTGGTTAACAGTCTTGTCAAGTGTAATGAAGATGAGGTAGGTGTACATTGGAGCCATCATCAGGTTAGGAAACTTTCTCCCCTTGATTCTTTTTATTTTATTTTATTTTATTTTATGATAGTCAAACACAGAGAGAGAGAGGCTGAGACACAGGCAGAGGGAGAAGCAGGCTCCATGCACCAGGAGCCCGATGTGGGATTCGATCCCGGGTCTCCAGGATCGCGCCCTGGGCCAAAGGCAGGCACCAAACCGCTGCGCCACCCAGGGATCCCTCTCCCCTTGATTCTTCACTCAGGTAGCAAATTCATTTTATAGGCCTTAGATCATTCCTCTGGTGGTATGACTCTTAGATTTGTATTAACCATCAAAAGTAAGCCATTAAGTTGGACCACCGAGTATATTTTATAATAGAGGTTTTCTGGTTTGTTTGGTTTGAGTCTGCTGCCTTCGTCAGTTGTGTGAAATTAGATTAGAGTCCAGGTCTCAAAGCATGCTCTGGGGCAGGATGATTGGCCAATTTAACGGTACATATGTCATCTCTTCCTAACATCAAAATAGGAGCCCTTTGGCACTTGGGCTTTTTTTTTTTTTTAATAAATCTTTTAATTAAAATGTATCCCAGATACAAACTGTAATTAGTTACACAACTTGATATACTTGTGTCACCAAGTGTAGACACCTATATCAGTACTTGAAAATTCTTGTACACAAAGTATTTTAAGTTGTCTGCTGTGGGTGCACCTGGTTGAGTGTCTGCCTTTGGCTCAGGTCGTGATCCCAGTGTCCTAGGATCAAGTACTTATAGGCTTCCCACAGGGAGCCTGCTTCTCCCTCTGCCAGTGTCTCTGCCTCTCTCTCTCTCTGTCTCTCATGAATAAATAAATAAAATCTTAAAAAAAAAAAAAGTTGTCTGCTGTGATCATCTCAGGCTGACTCAGGGTCAACTGCCATACCTGGGTTCCTATTCCAGTGGGTGCCTATGTTTGATTACAACAACAGAGTTAGAAAACTTTCTGAAAGTAAACTTGCTTACAGAGAACTGGGCACTTCTTTGTTCTTTATCATCAGTGTGCTGCCACCAATGCTGTGAGTTACAGGAAAAAGAATAGGCTTTGCTAGCTGTGATATATCTTAGTATAGTAGATTTTTCACTTGGGCCATTACTGTTTACTTGTTCTTTTATGAAATGACGAGTTATTGAATTAAACCATTTAAAAGCATAGTTGATGGAAAGGGAGAGATAAAATGTAAATTATAATACTGTAGTTCAATCAAATTATATCAAATAATTAAGATTTGGGTTTACTCTTTTGATTCAGTAAAGTACATCTGGTGTACAAATTGAGAATCTTCCATCAAATTTTCTTCAAGGATGGATTTGTTGTGTTGGGTTTTGTTGTGTTTGTTTTAAATTCTGGACAATTTTAAATATTTAAGAGCGGAAAGAATATACAAATCTCTATATACCCATCACCCAACCTCAGCAATGATCAGTTCTTGGCCCGTCTTTATTTCTTCTTTTTAACCAGATTGTTTTGTATCATGCCAGCTGTTTAAAATTGAAAATTTAATTTTTACTTAGTTTAAGCACTTTGGGAACTCTACAACATCACCAAAGAATTTGCAATATAGAAAATCAAGAAGTAAGGACTACGATGTGTATAGTGATAATGATATCTGCAGTCAGGAATCAGAAGATAATTTTGCTAAAGAGCTTCAGCAGTATATACAAGCTAAAGAGATGGCAAATGCTGCTCAATCCTTACCATGTTCTGAAGAATCAAGGAAGAAAGAAGGAGTGAAGGATACCCAGAAAGGTAAGGGTGAAATTATTTTGTCATTTAAAGTCTTTCTAGAGAACCAATCACAGTTGTCCATATCTGGACTCGGATTTGAGGAGTGGAGGGGATTTTCTCCTGCATTTTATCTCATAGTAAGATCATGCTTTCCATGGATCTCTACATCAGATGCGAGTTTGCATGACCTGAAACTCCCCACCCCCCTCCTGGCCATTCGGTATACAAATGCTTAGTTTGTAGGAAGAGAGTATAGGGCAGTTATCAAAGGCTTTGAAAGGGAGACTGCTTTGAAAGGGAGAATGGTAAATTCTTGGCCTCTGCATATATGAAGGACAAGATATACCTGTTTGGGGCACGCCTAAGTGACTTAGTGGTTGAACGTCTGCCTTTGGCTCAGAGCGTGATCCTGGTCCCTGGTTTGACTCCCACATCGGGCTCCCTGTATGGAGCCTGCTTCTCCCTCTGCCTGTGTCTCTGCCTCTCTCTCTCTCTCTCTCTCTCTCTCTCTCTCTCTCATGAATAAATAAATCTGTATATATAAAAAAAAAAAACTTGCACAAGAGAGGGAGAAAAAGGGAGAGAATCCTAAGCAGACTGCACCAAGCACAGAGCCTGACATGGGGCTTGTTCCCACAACCTTGAAATTAATGACCTGAGCTGAAACCAAGAGTCAGACACCTAAGCCATTGAGTCACCCAGGCGCCCCTGTAGAGAATATTTCTTAAGGGTAAACTGCTATTGTGCTTTTATGTTCTCATAAACTGAAATTAAAGTATTAACACTTAGTGTTTATGATTTAAACACATCAGATTAACTTTCTTGTTTTTAGCTGTTAAACAAAAAAACAAAAACCTTAAAGCTGTTCAGAAAAATGGTAAACAGAAGAAAATGAAGCGAAAATGGGCTGGTGCTGGACAGAAAGGATCAAACATCTCACTGCGGAGCAGTGGCTCACTGGAAAAGGTACAAGAGTATAGACATGCAGAAACACACCTACATGCTGCAGAATTTTTATCTTACACTTCAGGGACAAGCCATAAGACAAGGGTTCTCTGATGGTGAAAAATGTCCTCACTGTCTGTGGGTTCTCCATGTCATCCCTTGTCACTGTTGCAGCTGCCTTCCTCTCGCTTGTTAGGTGCCAGCACCATTGTGAAGCCTTAGTGTTGTGCTTGTTTACCTGAATACATGCACACAAATCCCTTGATTTTGGAATGTTGTACTGTCAGTGACTGGAAAAACATGGGAAGCAAGGAGAAGATAAAGTATCCAAGAGAACACTTCAAAAGTTACAGAGTCTTAACAGAGTTTCTAGTATTGCAGTCTCTGTGGGAATGAAACATGAATATTCCTGAGCTTTAGCCTTCCAAAACACCCCCAACCCTCCTGGTATTTTGATTTTGCTCTGTAGAAGGACCTCTTCCTTGGTCTGCAGATATATTCATGATGGGACAGTAAGTGACTACTGTGAACTCTGCCTTTCTCAGGGCTTTGAAACTAACCTTTTTTGTTATGCTTTGTCCAGAAGACAAGAGTTAGGGGTGGTAAAATATTAGAAAGTTCAAATATTAATAGACTGAAACATATTTATATAAAATCTTGCCTTCTGTATTTTACAAATGAGGAATTTGAAGCCCTGGGGGTTCAGACAACTGCTCAGAGTCACACAGGGCCAGGCCACAGCTGGAGTTTGCTTTCCCGACCCTGTCTGCAATCCTTTCATTTGGTTTACATTAACTCAAGTAATTTTTCAACTGACAGCCCTTCTACATGAGGAACGAACTGTAAACATGTATGTTGGAGTTTAATAACACAGTCAAATAAAACCAAAGATTTACGCTGACACGTATTTATTAGACACGTAACTTTGATGGTGTTAAGTGGAAATTTGACATTATTACAGAGCAAATCACAAAAATGTAGTTAGGTCCCTTCTTTCCACACTGAATTTCTAAAACTGTATTCAGAAATTTGGTATGCAAAAGCTATAAATTGTACCACAAGTTAACAAGCTAAAAATGGTTTATGTTTCTGAAGAGCTAAAATGTATTATGCAATTCCCCTTTGGTTTTTTATATAAAAGTTGCCTTCTGTTTTTATATCTCTTTTGCCATCGTTGAGGTTATATTTGTTGTTACATTTTTTAATGTGAGCTGGTTATTATTCTCTGCTCTCACTCAGTGAGGATCTCCTTGAAATGAAAGATCACATTGCTTTTGGTTCACTTTATTGGTTTTAGTTTTGTCTCCATTGTTCTGAAGAGGCTTATTCCTAGACTGGTTTTTATCACAAGTAGTAGCACTTTCATTAAAAAAGATTTTTTTATCCGATCTTTAAAAATAAGGGCAAAGTGTAATAAAATATTCAAATTGCACAAACATAAATATTCAATGCTGGAATGCTATTGTAATTGGCAGAATATTTATTTTTCAGTTGTGCAAAAGTTCAAATCTTACAAATGAAGGCCAATTAAAAAGTTATAAAGGTAGTTAAAATAATTTTGTGCAATGGAATAAAATGTTTAAATTTCTATTTCTCACAATTAGTTCTTTGTTTTTGTTTTCAAAGGATGATAAACCTAAAGAGAAGCAGCAGCATGTGAGAATGAGTCAGGGATTCATCAACCAACATACGGTGGAACGCAAGGGGAAACAAATTTGTAAATATTTTCTTGAGCGGAAATGTATTAAGGTATAAAAACCTACGTAAGCAAAAGTATAATAAAATGTAAGGTATAGCAAAAATATACTAAAGCTAACTTTTGTTTCCCTTAGATAGTCTAAAAGCATACCTATATGTTTTTATAATTGTTTCCTTTTGGAAAAGATTAAACTAGAAAACTTTATTGAAATATTCTTTTATGTTTACTTTTTTTAATTTTTTTTTTTAAGATTTTATTTATTTATTCATGAAAGACACAGAGAGAGAAAGGCAGAGACATAGGCAGAGGGAGAAGCAGGCTCCAGGGAGGGAGCCCGATGTGGAACTCAATCCTGAAACCGCGGATCATGCCCTGAGCCAGGGGCAGGTACTCAACCGCTGAGCCACCGAGGCATCCCTTCTTTTATGTTTAAGAAGAGTTTTTTAAAAAATATTTTGTGTTAAAAATGTTTAGGACTTAACAGGATTTTAAGCAGTTAGGTGTGGTGTGGTTATAAGATAGTTCTTTAAGAATTAGACTGTTGGGGATGCCTGGATGGCTCAGCAGTTAAGCGCCTGCCTTCAGCCCAGGGCATGATCCTGGAGTCCTGGGATCGAGTCCCACATTGGGCTCCCTGCATAGAGTCTACTTCTCCTTCTGTCTATGTCTCTGTCTCTCTCTCTCTGTGTGTCTCTCATGAATAAATACAATCCCTTTTTAAAAAATTAGAGTTAAAAAAAAAGTTTTATACTTTAATTTAATGCTTCTAAGACTTTCTGGGATCATTTGCTTATCTTAAGCTGAGTAGGAATTGAATGACTTGGGACGCCTGGGTAGCTCAGCAGTTGACCGTCTGCCCTCGGCTCAGGGCATGGTCCTGGAGTCCCAGGATTGACTCCCACATTGGGCTCCCTGCATGGAGCCTGCTTCTCTCTCTCTATGTGTCTCTTTTGAATAAATAAATAAAATCTTAAAAAAAAAAAGAAAAAGGAATTGAATGACTTAATTGTGAGAAATAATGGCTTTTTGTTGTTCCTTCTTTTGGCCCAGGGAGACCAGTGTAAATTTGACCATGATGCAGAGATAGAGAAGAAAAAGGAAATGTGTAAATTTTATGTACAAGGATATTGTACCAGAGGTGAAAACTGTCTGTATTTGCATAATATCCTTTATCACAAATTATAATAACTTTACTTTTTCTGAATATTTACATGAGCATTTTAAATATGTATAATTTTGAATGAAGCTTGTGTTTTAGCTATGGTAAAATCATATTATCCAAGCCCAACCCAGTATCAAAGTGGTTAAATTGTATAGATATTTTTTCCCCAAGAGAGAAAAGATAGATTCTTTAGTAATTCTCTCAAATGAAGATCCTTCACCTAGTTAGTACAGCAGCAGGTTCATAAGACCTATTCAACCCCCAGAAAGACTGTCAGAATTTCTGCTGTGACATTAACTAAGTGTGTTTATATTCATATAAGCTGTTTTGTCGTTTCAGGTTTTGTTTTTGTTTTTTTTTTAATGATTTTATTTTTAAGTAATCTCTATACCCAACGTGGGACTTGAATTTTACAACCCAGAGATCAGGAGTTGCATGCTCTGTCAATTGAGCCAGCCAGGTGCCCTCATATAAGCTACTTTTTTTTTTTTTTTTTAAAGGAATTGCATAGTTTGGGAGTACTTGTTTTCTCTATATTCTGTACTGAATGGAGGTTAACTGTCCCTTAATTTGGTAAATAACCCTAACTCTTTAGTACAAATGGTGCAGACATGTTGTAAAAACGTGGAACATAAACATTTTAGGGTAATAGCACCTTTGGGTATTACAGAAGTTGTTTTCCTTCAGTCATTCAATAGACAGAATCTCAAATTCTAACTTGAGAGTTTTTTCCTAGAAAACAATATTGAAGTTGTTTAAATTGATCCTATTTTAAACAAGCCTAATATCTGAAGGATCTAAATTTATAATATCTATCATTGTTATTGACTTTAATTCCCCCACCCCAAAAGAGTGGTTTAAAAATAATCTCATTTCTTTTTTTTTTCAATAATCTAATTTCTTAAAGTATTTGAAGTAGTACACATCCTTTTCTTTTTTTTTTTTTTAATTTTTATTTATTTATGATAGTCACACACACACACAGAGAGAGAGAGAGGCAGAGACACAGGCAGAGGGAGAAGCAGGCTCCATGCATCGGGAGCCCGACGTGGGACTCGATCCTGGGTCTACAGGATCGCGCCCTGGGCCAAAGGCAGGCGCCAAACCGCTGCGCCACCCAGGGATCCCCATCCTTTTCCTATATCAATGAAACATACCTACAGTTTATTATAAAAATAGATATGAAGAAAAAGTATCCTGTGATAGCCATTAAACTTGATTTATATAATTATCCTAAAATTAGATGTTTCATGTAATTCAATTAAGAATGTATTGTCTCATATTTTAAGAGAGATTTAGTGTTTCTACTACTAGGAAAGGCCTTTATATAGTGAAAATAAAATCAGGAAATTAATAATAACAAATTATTTTAGTTGGATTAAAGTTGTTCTCCTCAACACTTGGATTACATGAATATCCTTGCAAGTTTTACCATACAGGAACAAAATGTTATCAGGGTGAATATTGCAAGTTTTCACATTCTCCACTGACTCCTGAAACACAGGAATTGTTGGCTAAAGTAAGTATAATTTTAACTTTTGTTTTTCTTTTTTAAAGAATATGTTTGAACTAAGGGTGAGAATTTGGAAACACACTGTTCTTTAAGGTTACTATATGGGACATATTAGGACTGACAATCTTAGAATTTATTTCCATTTAGAAAATTATTATTCACGTGTGTGTATTTTTTTGTTAAAGGAAAATTCATACTATTGTTGGTGAGAACATGCCAGTTTATACTTATATAAGTATATGTATATGTTGTATGTTGTCACACTGTTTTGTACTTATTACTTATATAAGTATAAACTGGCATGTTCTCAAAACCTTCAATATATTTCAACTTTAGTAGCCTTGTTAACCAAAGGAAAACAAAGTAAGTAGGAAAACTTGTACTCCTGTTATACTCTTAGAAGGAATGCTAGGAATCATTGGGTGGTAAATATTTTAGAGTTACATCAAAACATAAGTAGTTATTTCACGAGTTTTCTTCAAATATGCTTTTAGTCAATAAGGAAAGATAAATTAAAAAATAATAGTCATTTACATACTCTCATTTCCTGTATGTTAGTTGGAATTAGTGTCTTCAAAATTAAATTGCAATATAAGTGAAAATAAAAGATTATCTTAGAACCAAGCCATACCGTCCTGTGGCAGAAGGTTCTCTTGAGTGTATGTAAATATTAGAAAGTCAAAGATGCTTATTTTTGGATATTTTTAGGTTATAAAAATGAAGGCTTACCCTGGAACTAAAATCATACCAAATATTTTGTTACTAGTATGAAATATATATGGAAAAAAGATAGATGTAAAAGTTATCTTTCAGACCTTAACAGTAAATATTAGACGATTACTAGGATAAATAGTATTGGAATCACTAGACAATTACAAGAGCATTATGATGTAGCTGAATTAGACATTGATGCATAAAAATGTGTGATTTTTTTTCATTTAGGTTTTGGATACTGAAAAGAAATCATCATGAAAATAAAAGGCATAAAAAGGTAAAATTAGCATTTAGTGTGTTTCTTTTTTTCTCTCTGAAGCATCTCTAGAAATTGGCTTGGAAGCATAGGACTTTTCCATTTTCTAAAATAGAAATCTTTTTCTTTCTCTTCTCTCACTAAAAAATTACAAAATTTTTGATACATATACATAGATATATATGTCTACCTTCTTGGACCTGCTTCTCTCTCTTGGTTTGTCACTATCTTTTGTATTTGATGTACTAACTAACTAGTCTAGTTTTGCTTGTGTTTGGATTTTATTTTTTTTAATTTTTTATTTATTTATGATAGTCACAGAGAGAGAGAGAGAGAGAGAGAGGCAGAGACATAGGCAGAAGGAGAAGCAGGCTCCATGCACCGGGAGCCCGACGTGGGATTCAATCCCGGGTCTCCAGGATCACGCCCTGGGCCAAAGGCAGGCGCTAAACCGCTGTGCCACCCAGGGATCCCATGTTTGGATTTTATAAATATTCTGTGTATTTATTGGTGACTTGCTATTTTCACTCAACATTACATTTCTTTTTTTGATGAGGTGGAGAAAGAGCATGAGTGAGCAAGCAGGGGAAAGGGGTTGGGGGAGAGAGAAGAGAGCATCTCAAGCAGTCTCCATACCCAGTGTACAGCCCAATGCAGGGCTTGATCTCACGATCTAGACACCTTTGTCAGAAATCAGTTGTCTATAAATGTACGAATTTCTAGACTTTCAGTTGTGTTCTGTTGCTTTATATGTTTATCCTTGTATTTTATATGTTATGCTCTATATGTTTCTTGTTCTATGTGTTTATCCGTATATGTTGTCACACTGTCTTGTGATTACTATGGCTTTATACCAAGTTTTTTTTTTTTACTTTTATTTATTTATTTTTAAAGATTTTATTTATTTATTCACGAGAGACACAGAGAGAAAGAGAGAGGCAGAGACACAGGCAGAGGGAGAAGCAGGCTCCATGCAGGGAGCCTGATGTGGGACTCAGTCTCAGGACCCCGGGATCACACCCAGAGCCAAAGGCAGATGCTTAACCACTGAGGCACCCAGGTGTCCCATATATCAAGTTTTAAAATAAGGAAATATAAGCTGCCTCCAATTTTATTCACCTTTTTAAACATTGTTTTGGCTATTTGGTATCTTTTGCTTTTCCATATAAATTTTAGGAAAATTTCTGCAAAAAACCTGTGCTGGGATTTTTTTTTTTTTTTAAGATTTTATTTATTTATTCATGAGAGACACACACAGAGAAAGAGGCAGAGACACAGGCAGAGGGAGAAGCAGGCTCCATGCAGGCAGCCCAACACGGAACTCGATCCCAGGACCCCAGGATCACGCCCTAGGCTGAAGGCAGCGCTAAACCGCTGAGCCACCCGGGTGTCCCTGTGCTGGGATTTTGACAGAGATTTGCGTTGATATGTGGAGAATTGCCATGTTCTATGTTCTGTGAATATGGAATGTATCTCAATTTATTTAGATCTTTAGTTTCTCTCAGTTTTGTAGTTTTCACTGTACAAGTATGTTGTTTACACTTCTTGTGTTAAGTTTATTTACACATATTTTTTCCTCTTTGATGCTCTTGATGAATGGAATGGCTTTGATTTTTTAATTTAAAAATTTTTTTAAAATATTTTATGTATGTATGTATTTATTTATTTATTTATTTATTTATTTATTTATTTATTTGAGAGAGAGAGAGAGAGCAGGAGCTGGAGGCAGGGAGAGGGAGTAGCAGGCTCCCTGCTGAGCAGGGAGTCAGATGTGGGGCTCGATCCCAGGACCCTGGGATCATGACCTGAGCCAAAGGCAGCCACTTAGCTGACTGGGCCACCAGGTGCCCTGAATGGAATGTTTTTTTTTTTTTTTTTAATTTTTTTTTTATTTATTTATGATAGTCACAGAGAGAGAGAGAGAGAGAGAGAGAGAGGCACAGATACAGGCAGAGGGAGAAGCAGGCTCCATGCACCGGGAGCCCGACGTGGGATTCGATCCCGGGTCTCCAGGATCGCGCCCTGGGCCAAAGGCAGGAGCCAAACCGCTGAGCCACCCAGGGATCCCTGGAATGTTTTTTAAACTTCATTTTTGGATCATATATTCAGGTATAGAGAAATAGAATTGATTTTTGCGTTTTGATCTTGTTTCCTGAGACTTTGCTGTACTCATTTATTAGCTCTGTAGATGTGTATGTATGTTCTTAGGAATTTCTATATTTTCTCTGAGAATAAAGACAGTTTTACTTCTTCCTTTCTAAACTGGATGCCTTTCTTTCTTTTGATTGAGTGATTTCACTGGCCAAAACCTCTTGTGCAATGTTACATAGAAGAAACAGCACACATCATTGACATTTCCTGATATTAGGCAAAAACCATTCAGGCCTTCACCATTGTGTATGATTTTAGTTGTAGGTATTTCAGAGATACTCTTCATTGGTTTGAGGAAGTTCCCTTCTATTTTGAGAGCTTTTATTGTGGATGGGTGTTGGATTTTGTCAAATGCGTTTTCCTTATTTACTAAGATGCTCATATCATTTTCCCCCTTTATCCTATTAACATGATATAGTACATTATTATGACATATTCAGATGTTAAACCAGTCTTGCATTCTTGAGATAATTCCCACTTGGTTATGGCGAATAACCTGTTTTGAATATTTTTGGATTTGGTTTGCTAATATTTTATTAAGGATTTTTATTCTATTCTTATATAGCTTTCTTCTCTTATGATGTCTTTTTCTAGCTTTGCTGTCAGGGTACTGGCTTCTTCAAGTGAATTGAGAGATGTTCCTTCTTCCTTTATTTTCTGGAAGAGTTTTTGAAGGATTGGTATTATTCCTTCTTTAAATATGTGGTAGAATTTACCAGTGAAGACACCTGAGTCTGAGCTTTTCTTTAACAGAAGATTTTACATATTGATTCAGTTTTTTTCCTTTTAATGGGTTTATTCAGGGTTTTTTTTTTTTTTTCCTTGAATCAGTTTTGGTAATTTGTATTTTCCTGTTAATTTTGCTGTTTCATCTAAGTTGTCTACTTTGGTAGCATAAATTTATCCATAATATTGTTTTATAATCCTTTTGAGTTCTATATCAAAAACATTTCTGTATCAAGAAGAGATTTCTGTGTCAACAATTTTGAGTTCTATATCATAGTGATGTGTCCTCCTTTTGTTCCTCATTTTGGTACTTTTAAGTCTACTTTTTTTTTCTTGATCAGTGTAACTAAATGTCTGTTTTGTTGATCTTTCAAAGAACCAACTTGATTTCATTGATTGTTCTCTATTTTTTTATTGATATCTAATCAATTTTTAAAATTTCCTTCCTTTTGCTTACTCTGTGTTTAGTTTGCTCCTGTGTAGATTTTAGAGTCAGTTTCCCGAACTCCTCTCCACCCCCAGCAATGCAAAACAAAAACAAATGCTTTGGGGTTTTTCTTGTTTTGTTTTGTTTTTAAAGATTTTATTTATTTATTCATGAGAGAGGCAGAGACACAGGCAGAGGGAGAAGCAGGCTCCATGCAGGGAGCCTAATGTGGGACTCGATCCTGGGACTCCAGGATCACGCCCTGAGCCGAAGGCAGGTGCCAAACCGCTGAGCCACCCAGGGATCCTCATTTTGGGGTTTTTTGGATAGTATTTCTTTAGCTGTGTACATCAGTTTGGAAACAATTGAGAGCTTTTTGAAAGTGAGTTTTTCAGTCCATGAATATGTTGTCTATAGTCTTCAAATGTTTTTTTGATAAAGTTATCATTTGCCCTAGTGGGCCTACACATTTTTGTTAGGTTTTTTTTTTCTCAAATAAATAATTTTGGATGTTATTCTTACTCCTATTTTCAAAGTTGATTTTTCTGAATTGAATTAGCAACTTTGCTTAATTTCTCTGTTAAATTAATGAGTAAATGTTTCTGGATTTTTCTGTAGACATATCTGCATATAATGATTTTTATTCTTTTTGCAGTTCTTATTTATTTTTATTGTTGACTAGGCCTTATAGTACAAGATTTAAAAAATATCAATTATATTGAAGTATACATTATATATAATGTACCCATTTTAAGCATACAGTTTGGTTCAGTTAAATATATTCACATTGTTTTGCATCCAATCTTCAGAACTTTTTCATCTTGCAAAACTGAAACTGTGAACCCATTATACAGTAACTACCCATTTCTTCCCTCCCCCAAGCCATTGGCAACCACCATTCTCCTTTATGTCTCTATGATTTGGATAATTCCAGGTACTTCATGTAAGTGGAATCCTGGAGTACTTGTTTTTTTGTGACTGGCTTCTTTCACTTAACATAATATCCTCAAGGTTCATTTACGTGGCATGTATCAGAATTTCCATCCTTTTTCAGGCTAATTCTCCATTACATGTAGCTACCACATTTTGCTTACTCATTCATCTGTTGATGGTTACTTGGGTTGCTTCCATGTTTTAACTACTGTGAATAATGCTATTATGAACATGATGTACATGTATCTTTTTGAAAGCTCCTTTCATTTTTGGGTATATATGCAGAAGTGAAATTGTTCGGCCATGTGATAATTCTGTTCTTAATTTTTTAAGGAACCACCATATTGTTTCCATAGTAGCTGTACCATTTTGCATTTCCACCAGAAATGCACAGAATTCCAATTTCTCCACATTCTCACCAAACTGGTTACTTTCTTTTTCTTTTTTTATTTGATAGTAGCCATCCTAATGGGTATGAGGTGGTAGCCATTTCATCATAGTTGTAATTTGCGTTTTCCTAATGATTAGTGTTGCACATCCTTTCAAGTGCTTATTGGCCATTTGTGTATCATCTTTGGAGAAATTCAAAGGCTATTCAAGTCCTTTGCACTATTTTGAATAGGGTTTTGTTGTTGTTTTAGGGTGTTCTCTGTATATTCTGGATTTTATTCACTTATATAGGACTTGCAAGTATTTTCTCCCATTCTATAGGTTGCCTTTTCATTCTGTTGACAGTGTCCTTTGATGCACAAGATTTTAAAAGTTTCATGAAGTCCAGATTGTCTTTTTTTTTTCCTTGTGCTGCCTATGCCTTAGGTCTCATATTTAAGAAACCATTGCAGAACCCAGTGTTGTGAAACTTGTATCCTGTCTTTTCTTCTAATAGTTTTATAGTTCTAACTCTTAATTTAAGTTTCTGATGCATTTTGAGTTAATTTTTGTATGAGGTGTTTGGGAAAGATTCCAACTTCATTCTTTTGCATTTGGATATCCAGTTTTGCCAGCCCCCTTTTTTCTTTTTTAAAGATTTATTTATTTATTTATTCAGAGAGAGAGAGAGAGGCAGAGACACAGGCAGAGGAAGAAGCAGGCTCCATGCAGGAAGCCCAATGTGGGACTCGATCCCGGGTCTCCAGGATCACACCCCGGGCTGCAGGCGGCACTAAACTGCTGTGCCACCGGGGCTGCCCTGCTAGCCCCATTTTTGAAAGGACTGTCATTTCCCCATTGAATGGTTTTGGCATCCTTGTGAAAAATTATTGATTATGTATGGAAAGGTTTATTTCTGAGCTCTGTTTCATTGGTCTTATATGTCGTCTCTATGCCAGTACCATACCATTTAATTATTGTAGGTTTGTAATCCGTTTTGAAGTTTAGAAGTATAAGCCTCAACTTTGTTCTTTTTCAAAATTATTTGGCTCTTTGGGACCTATTGAATTCCATGTGAATTTTCAGGTGGATTTTTGTTTCTGTAAAGAAGGTCATTGTGACTTCGATAGTGAATGCATTGAAGCTGTAGATCACTTTGGGCACTATTGATGACTTAACTATATTAAGTCTTTCCAATTCATGAACATAGGATATCTTTCTATTTATTTATGTTCTTTATGTTCTTTCAGAAATGCTTTGTAGTTTTTATTGTACAAGTCTTTCACCATCTTGGTTAAGTTGACTCCTAAGAATTTTATTCTTTTTGAGGTATAGTAATGAATTATTTTCTTAACTTCCTTTTCAGATTGTTTATTATTATTATCATTATATAGAAATGCAACTGATTCTTGTGTGTTGACTTTATATCCTTCTATTCTGTTGAATTCATTTATTCTAACTATTTTTGTGGAAGCTTTAAGATTTTCTATTTACAGGTCATAGATTTTACATATAGATTATAGATACATAGATGAATGGTTTTTTAAAATTTAAATTCAATTAATTAACATATAGTGTGTTATTAGTTTCAGAAGTAGAGTTCTGTGTAGATGAATGTTTACTTGATAAAATATACTTTAATAAGAAAGTGAGCATCTTACTTAATTGGGAAACAATGGAGGCATTTCCGCTAGAGGAGTTTGTTTAGTGGGACTGTCCGGTTTCTGAAAGTTAAATAGAATTCAACTCTGAAAACATCTGTATCTGGTGCCAGTTTCATTTAAGAATGTTCTTGGGTAACCCGGGTGGCTCAGCTGTAGCGCCGCCTTCAGTCCAGGGCCTGATCCTGGAGACCCAGGATCAAGTCCCACATCGGGTTCCCTGCATGGAGCCTGCTTCTCCCTCTGTCTCTACCTCTCTCTCTGTGTGTGTGTCTCTTAAGAATAAATAAATAAATAAAATCTTAGAGAAAAAAAGAATATTCTTGATGAAAGTTGAAATTATTAATGTTGTTAAACCTCAATTCTTGAGTAAACGTCATGTCAATATTACCTATAGCGAAATGGGAAGATGTATAAAGTATTCTCAAGGAAAAACATTTGTGTACTATTATGTTAATTACAAGCTGGATTAGCTGAATTTTTTCATGAGTACTTGAATAACTGAGGGCTCAGCAAAGTTTTTTTCAGATGTGGATGTTTGGCAGGTGAATGTGGATGTTTTTTCACAGATGAATGAAGTGATCCCATTACTTCAAGGAAAATAATTGAAAATATTTGTTATCAATCGTAAAATTCTGGCTTTTGAGCAAAAAATTACAATTTTGGAACATTTGATCTGCTTCTGTATGCTTGAAAGCTTTCCTATACTTTTTGGTAAGATTGGTTGGTGATCTTAAAGACTGGTGATATTTTAAGATGTGTTTTAAATAATGTACAATTCAAACATTTGAGAGGTGTGCATAAATTAATAAGCTAATATTTTCCAAATAAGTAAGGAATGATGTTACAAAGTTATGCATGAGTTAAACATCCATCCAACCTATAATATAGATTAATGGGTTTTAATATAACAGTACAAAAAGTTCCTTCTTGTGGTTTCATATTTTATATTGCAACTGGAAATTTAATTGCATTTGCTTTTAGTATTTATTTGCCCACCATTTCATTTTTTAGTTTGTCTAAGTTTTAACCTTTCTTATATGTAGTATATAGTTGGGATTTGTTTTATGAGCCAAACATAAAATCCTTTCCTACTTTTGATAGTGAATTATAAGCCCATTCACATTTATTGAAATGACTGAATGTTTAGGTTAGCTTCTGTCATTTTATATTATAGTTACCACATAAATTATGTTAAAATATGTTTTCCCTCTATGATGCATTTTTTGTTCTTTTATAAATTTTGCTTTCTTCCTCTTTTTATTCTTTCTGTTCTTTTAACACTTTTTTTTAAAAGATTTTATTTATTCATGAGAGAGAGAGAGGCAGAGACATAGGCAGAGAGAGAAGCAGGCTCCATGCAAGGAGCCTGACATGGGATTTGATCCCAGGACCCCACTATCACGACCTGAGCCAAAGGCACATGCTCAACCACTGAGCTACCCAGGCGTCCCTCCTTTTCCACTTTTATCCAATAACTCTTATTAAATTTCCATTAAAATTTCTCCTATTCTGTCTTAGAGTCTACATTTTTGACATGATCTCTTTTTTGTATCATTTTTGAGATCAGCCAACTCTTGTTTCATTACTTGTATTCTTTTGTTCAGTTTTTTTTTTTTTTTAAGATTTTATTTATTCAGAGAGAGAGAGAGAGAGGCAGAGACACTGGCAGAGGGAGAAGCAGGCTCCATTCAGGGAGCCTGACATGGGACTTGATGCCAGGTCTCCAGGATCATGCCCTGGGCTGAAGGCGGCACTAAACCGCTGAGCCCCCTGGTCTGCCCTTTGGTTCAGTTTTTGTCTTAGGTTTTGAATTTCAAAATCAGGTGTTTTTTTCATATTCCTAAACAGAGATATTTAATTCAGTTTGGATTTCTGTGTTACAGTTCTCTGCTGGTGCATGGTTTTTTTTGAGGGAAGGGAGTAGGGGTGGCTAAGTTGGTAATCTTCACTAGCTGATGTGTTTTTGTTGTTTTTTTCTGTAGTTTTATATAGATGAAGAGTACTTATGACTACGCCCGTTCAAGACTTGGAGTGGTTTACAAGCGTCCTCATTTAAAGCGCCCTCTTGTGTCGTTATCATGTTGTGCATCTTCTTTAATGGATGATGCAGATGGGACAGAATCTAGTGTAGAAGTGAGGGGATTAGTCTTCACCAAGCTGTTTCAGCCAGTGGAACAGGAGAGGAGCATACATGGCAGAGATGCTGGCTGGTAGGCAGATGTTGTGGTAGTAAATTGTATAAGTCTTTTCTGATTGAGTTTTGTCAATAAAATAGGAAGCAAGATTAGGCTGAGTGAGGATGAAGAGATCTAGGAGATCGAAGAGAGAAAACTGTTAGGTTTCTCTAAGAAGACATTGGGATAATAGGTAGATGACTATATGGTTAGATCTTTTCATGTCATTAAATACATTTGCAACATATTTTTAATGGTTGCTCACAGTTTTGTTTTATGGCTTAAATTATGGATTTATGATATTTTTTAAAAAACCACTTTCTTGTTGCTTCCAATTTCTTACTATTGTAAATAAAATGGAACAATGTCTCTTGCTATACCATTCCTACACTTGGAGTTCTTAACTTTTTTGTTGTCAAGATATGGAAATGGTTATCTTTCTCATTGGTTCATAAACTAGTGAGATTGTACACTTGTGTAAAATGTAAATTTTAGAAGTGTGATGATATCTTTAATAGTCAAAGGCAAAATTCTCCAACCACAATCATGAGGTTCTAAATATGTACTTTTATATAGTGGTACTAATTATTATTAGAATAATACTGTGAGACTGAAACTGTCATTATCATATTGTTGTATTGCTGGGAAAACTAATAGCATCACTAACTTGCTGTATACACAGAGTATATACCAAAGGTAGTGAATTCTTAGCCAAGTCCATTTGAAAATATGAGTCAGTTATTTTGCTTGTAACCTAGTCCTGCTAAAGCAAGAAAGGGAATTGCACGTACTTCAAGCAAAGGTTTATCAGACAAGACCTAGGAAAGAAAGAAATCAGGATAGACTCCTGATGCCCTTAGCATCTCTTCATGCCCCATTGCTGTCTCCTAGGTTGATTGGTTCATTTCCTGGTGGTGGCTAGGGTGGAGGGCAAGACAGTGCACTAAAAGCTGCTATTGGTGGAAGACACAGAGGAGAGAGGTTGAGTTGATACTTCAGAAGTATCCGTTAAAAAAGTCTTTAATAATTTAATGAAATTGTGCAAAGGAGTAATTATATTACTAGAATTGATACTTTGTAATTATATTACTAGAATTGATACTTTGTATCTTTTAAACATCACAGAACTCAAAGGATTTCCAGATCCTGTCATACATAGCTCACCATTCTAGAAGGTCAGTTTTATAGCAAACCTATATGTAAGCTAACATTGGTCAGCAATAAGCAACACTAGTGCACACTTACCTTCTGTGGGCACAATGCTTTTTTAATACTGTTTAACTTTCTTGTATAAGCCATATTACTCTGTGAGGTGGATAATGGGATCAATGGCATAGAAAAGGGAATAAATAAGAACATTTACCTTCTATTTTTTCTGTTTCCATGAACCTTAAAAAGTCTTATATTTAATCTTCTATGACAGTCTACAGTTTATTTCCTTATAATGTTATCTCACATATACTTTAATACTGATGAGGTATAAATTTTTACCCATAAAGTTCATGTATAAGAAAAAAATAAGTTTATATTCTAAGTGGCAGGACTCATCATCTCACTTGTAAACTTAGAAGACCAAGCAGAGGTTTGAGGGGCTGAGAAGTCAGAGAAGTTAAAAAAAAAAAAAAAAAAAAAAAAAAACTCTTCCTTTACTTCTATTTTATTTTATTTATTTTTTTTAATTTTTATTTATTTTTTTATTTATGATAGTCAACAACTTCTATTTTAAAGAGGCAGACATATTTGTGTTCGTGAACTCTCTTAACTTCTGGTAAATCAAGTTGAGGAGAGACCCCTTCACACCTAAAGCAGCCATTAGGCTGTGGGTGTCTTCTATCTGGGTGGTTATTGCACCCTCTTTCACACTTTCTGACCTTTCTGCTCTCTAGCTCACTCTCTTTTCCTCAGTTAGAGCCCATTTCCTAGTGTCCTGCTTCAGCCATGTCCCCACCCCGAGCAGTACTCAGATCAAGACCCATTTGTTCACCAGGTCTTCAGTGCCCTATGGTATGGCCATCTCAGCTGTATCCGTTTAGTTCCTGCCATCATGTGCTCCTCGCTTCTCTTCTGGTTTCCTCCTGTGAGGTAAATATCCCTGACCCTTGATGCGGCTCAGGCAGGTACCTGAGTACTAAAACCATAATTGGTCAGAAAAAATTCTGGACCAGAACTATAAGACCGTTGTGATAGGAAAGTCTACGTGGATTTCTGCATCATTTAGCCAGCACAGCGATCTTGGCTATGTTAAAGTTATCTCTATAGTTGGCTTTTTTTTAGAGCCAAAACAAAAATGACAAACTGGCTATCTAACCTCTCATTACCAGAATGGAGGTGGGATATAAAACCTCACCTCTCCTAATAATTCATGCAAACAGTTCTTACGTGGGTCTACTTCATGAGTAGAATGAACATAGTTGTAATTTCTAAGATTCTGTGTGACAGGTTTCCTATAACTTTTTTTGTGGTCAGTTACTAAAAGCCACAAGACAGTAAAACTCTTTTTTTTTTTCAGTTGGTAAGATAATAGAAGTCGAGTGTACAGTCTTTTAGTGTTTCATCTTGATCTGGTTGTAGAACTTAAGGAATTCGGCCCCAGAGATGTTAAATGACTTGTCCTTTGTCTTAATAGGCTTCTTGACTACCAGCACAAGTGTGTTAATTCACTGACTGGTTTTGATAACCATCATGCAGTGATGCATGTCTGTTTGATAAGCATAACCATTGGAGGGTTACTTTCAAAGATTTCTTTTGAGCTATTGCTTGTTGAGGTCAAAATACTATGATATGATGATCTGGCCTGAGGAATATGGGGTTCATACTGCCAATTAGAAGCACAAATGCCACATTTGGGATTTAGTGAGATTAGAATATCTCAGGTTAAACACCTGCTGAATGCTAGGATCATACATAGGAAATCCTTTTTAATACCTGTTACAGTCCTATAATAGGGAGTATTATAGCAATAGTGATTGCTATTGCTATTTACAGATAAGAAAACCATGTTTGTAAGAAGACATTACCTGGCCTGAGTCTCCATAGCTTATATGCTTAGTTGCATACCATTACACGTTTTCTCCCTTTCCTAACAAAATTTCAGTTTTGCTTAGGTGTCCTTCTTTCCTCCATAATACCATCTGTGCTTTGTAGATGGTGGGCTCTGGCTTCAACCCTTAGGGTTGTATCAACAAGGATCTAAAGTTGTGGTTCCCAACCTTGGCTTCAAATTTTAATCTTTCTAAAGAGAAACTTAAACAGTGATGCCTGGAGCCTGCTCCCAGAAACTCTTGATTTTTTTTGGCAGAGGGCAGGGTACAGGGACGCCTGGGGTGTGGACATGAGATTTTTGGTAGCTCCCAGGTGATTGTAAAGCATAGCCAAAGTTGAAAACCACTGGTCTCAACAACTAGGAAGTTCCATTCTTGCCAATAGCTGGTTTGGGCTTGAACTATAAATACATGTCCTCTGGTACACTTCTGGGAGAGTTAACATCTCTTAAGATACACAGGAGGTTAGACATTGCCATGTCTAAATATGACACCAAGAACTGATGTTGCTGTCTTATGACCTCAAGGGGAACTAGCTAACCAGCCAAAGTGACAGCGAAGGAAGTTGGGAAGAAGCTGGGTCCTTGATGACAACTGAGCCATGGACTTCACCAGCCTTGCAAGATATCAACCTACAGATTTCGTTATACCACATGAATAACCTATTTTCTTTACTCTTTAAACCATTTTGATTTGAGTTCCCTGTTACCTACAGCCAAAGGCAAGCTAGTAAATGTGAGCCAAGAATCAAACCTCCATTTGTCTGCAAAAGTTCACGTTTCTCTCCTGACCACCTTCTTCACCAAAGACTGTTTTCAATCTCTGCTCCTGTGGACAATACAGAGTAAGAAACAGGTGTTAGAGAGGAGGAAACGTGACAGTGGGCAGGGCTGTGTTCCCTCCCAGCATGGAACAGAAACTGGGGAGGAATAAATATATTTAAAGGAGAAAATGTACATGTTAGGTCAGGAGGGATAAGATGCCCAACTCACCTCAAAGTGGCGTCGATTCCTGTGAAATTTGTAACACTTTTCACATTATTTAAAAATAACATAAGAAAATAGTAGACGTATTTTTCGTTGCTATGTGTCATTCTGAGATATGTCTTTATTTTCGTAGTTAACATCTCTGCAATTGGAATTTTACAGTTGATGGAATATCACATTTTACTCAGCAGGTTATTTTTTCTTACTGGTACATAATAAAGGGTAGATCTTGCCAAGAAGTTAGTGACGTTTAGATTTGAATGTAATTTTTTAACTGAACTTATATATGTATATAGTCAAACGTTTAATATAAAATAAACTTCTGAAATTTATTTTGGATTAATAAATTATGAAAACATAAAAAGGTTTCTTAAATGAAGCAGAGTGGCTGGCTCTCTGTCTCCCAACTTCCCCTGCTCTCTTTGTGGTTGGCAGAACTCTAAGATGGCTCCCGAGATACTGTGCCCCTGGTGTACACGACCTGTTTAACCACTTCCTCCATAGGCATTACTCTATGATGGATTTCACTCCCATGATTATCTTACATTATGTGTCAGAGATGAAGTGGTTTTACTTCTGATGTAATTGAAGTCTTAAATCAGTTGGTTTGGAGTTTAATCAAAGGGGAGATGATCTCAAGTGGGCCTAAGCTATAATTGTATGAACACTTAAAAGAGACTTGGTCCAGAGTTTAGAACGGAGCTTCTCCCACTGGCCTTGAAGAAATAAGTTGCCATGTTGTGACAGGGCCTTGTGTCTAGAGCCGACAACAACCCTCAAATAATGTGGAAGAAGTGCCAATCACCTGAATGAACTAGGGACAGGTGTTTGGGCTCATTTTGTATATTCCCACCCCAGGCCTCTGAGGAGCTCAGATTCCTTCTAACTGGGAATATTAATTATAATCCAAGATGTAGGTGCTGGGTATGCTTAGTGCTATTGAGTCTGGTCAGATGAAGACAGGCCCTGAGAATATAGTGTAAACTGTCACACACTTCAAAAAGCGACAGCCTGGGGGGAATGGGGCTTCTGAGGAGCTCTGAATCTGTCCTACCCTCTCTGGTGACCACTAGGGTTAGGGTTCTGGTTTTCACAGTTACTGTAGTTGTGGGGCTATTAATCTACAAGGTTGCTGTGGAGCTGGGGAGAGAATGAGCTTAGGGCAAGTCATTGCCACAAGGCATTTTACCAAGATTCAGCTGTTTTTCTTGAGTACATTCTCTCTGTTGTAAGCCTTTAATTTCCAGAATTCTGAAAAAAATTGGTTTTGACTGTTTTTGCCATTTCTCTTGTGCCTTATATGGAATGGTAGATTTTTAGAGATCCTTAGTTTGCCATTCCGGAAGTAGAAACCCTGGTTCACTTTTAAGTATTGTTTGACATCATAATACCTTCTTTTCTCCCCCCTCTTATCTGTGCTTTAGAAATATTTGTGACTGGTATGAAGACTGAATGTGTGCCAGCTTCTACTCTTTTTATTTCAGAATTCCCCCTTTTCCTGCCTTGCCATCCAGGGACTCATCTTTCTGGCAGGATACTCCTTGTTCCTGAGTTTTTAGGACCTTCACTCCTGTTCCAAATTTTTAACTACCTTTTTTAGGAGTTCCACAGAAGTGGTCTTTATTTACCATTCACATAAGTAAGTCTTAGATAAATAAATTTTATATCCTAGCTGAGTCCTATGCAAAAATACTTCAAATTTATTTGCCTCCATGTGTTGTTTGGCAGGTATATTTGTTACATAATAATATAAACTAGACTTTAATCTTGGACTTCCTGAACAAATTTGTGATTCAGCCCCATATCTGCTGACACACCAGCTCTTTTCAGCTTTCTGTATGCCGGCAGATTGCAAGCCAATTTAAACTTCCATGTGTAGCTGAACTCTGTTAGGTGAACCCGGAATCAACAGAAATGCTCCTTATTTCAGCCAAATGCACATAAAACAGTCATTTCAGTCCATGAAGAAGGAAAACCTGGTCCCAGTGAATTCCTGATTGTCTCAGAGCCTGAATGCCTGTCCTTGTGCTGCTGTGAAGGGTTCTATGTTCTCCCCAAGCTGGGGAGATGATGTGCGCGGCCACTCCGGAAACAGAAACCCGCCTGGCCTCCCCTGGCCCCTGCCACTCTGGCCTGCCAGCAGTTCTTCAGGGCTGTGTTCTTTGGGATGCACCTCCAACTAAATCTGTATGGGGTGGGGGGCTGGGGGGTGACATGAAGAATGACTCTGACTTTTTAAATGGGGTGTGCAATCCCCCTTGCCCCATCTAGGGGCCAAAAGGCAAGACAGAGGAAGAGGGTGCCCTGTACCAAAAGGAGCGACACTGTTTGTGCCCATGGCCTCCGTTTTGTTAAATCTCAGAATACCATAGCTGTGACTAGGCCATGGTATGGGAGCTGCGTGAAGGATTGTGAAACAGCCTCCTGGGCCCACCCTCCAATCAGCAAGGCTTCTTGTTCAGCCCCCAGGTCAAATCCCAGTATTGGAAAATAGGGGTGCTGGATGTCAGACATGCCTGCAGGTGTTATTCCTCTTGTTGGCCTGCTATCCCCTGAGGCCTGGCCCACATCTCTGTCGTCAGGGCCCAGCTTTAAGGTATACCAGGCATGGCGCCCTTCATCCTCCACCCTTTCTGGACTCAGCAGCCCTGGCACTCCTTGTCCTCAGTTGTCCTCCCTGATATTCTGGAAGCAACACAAGAGCATTCAATGTCTGTCTTATTCACGGCTGGATTCCCTGCAAGGATCAGGTGCATAGAAGACCCTCATTCAGTATTCATTAAATCATTATCAAAATTTATTTTTTTTAAGATTTTATTTAGTCATGAGAGGGGGAGGGGGGCAGAGACACAGGCAGAGGGAGAAGCAGGTTCCATGCAGGGAGCCTAACGTGGGACTCCATCCAGGGTCTCCAGGATCACACCCTGGGCTGAAGGCGGTGCTAAACCACTAGGCCACCAGGGCTGCCCCTTATTTTTTATTTTTATTGAATTTTGTAAAGTTTACTGAGTGATAGTACAAAGCTCCCAAAGAGGGAGGGGTCCTGAGCCCCCCCCCCCAATTTTTTTTTTTAAGACAGCACATGAGCAGGGGCTAAAGTGTCCTGAGCATGTGTAAGGTAGACTGGGCTACGCTATGTTCAGTAGGTTAGATGTATTAGATGCACTTTTGACTCATGATATTTTCAACTTAGAATGGGCTTATAGCCATCATAATTCAAGGAAGGTCTGTATGTGACATTCACATAACATGTGACAGGCCTTTGAGGCTTTGCAATTTTACCTAAATGCTACCCAGTCTCCTTTCTCATTTGCAGACTCAGGACTCTTAACCAGTGTCATCCCCAACTATATGGTACACACTCATGGTTGAGCTCTGCACACCAGTGGATCCAGGGACTGTGGGTGGAGTCTGCTGGTTGCCCAAATTGGAAATTGATGCTCATTGGTCTAAGACCACCTGGGACCCACTTGGAGTCAACTAGGACAGGTTTATTATTTACTGTAGTGAGAGAAAGCTTGCATTTCAGGGGGCTGGGGGCCCTCTCAATAGGAGAGAGTTAAAGGAAAAATAATTTGAGTTCTTGAGGCTAGAGTAAGTCATGGGATAGTCTTGGCAGGGATGGGTCAGATTTTGTCAACTAGAGAGCTGCTGGCAGAGTCACTGGTCTTGTCTGTGAGTGAGCAGGTGTTAGGAGTTTATACTTGGATGCTTTGTGACATGCATGCTGTGAAGGGGTGCAGTTTATGGCTTGTGTAAGTCCTAGAGCACTGCATTTTGTCAAGTTGTGGTTCTGTTTCAATTCCCTGGTTCTCCACAGCCTGGCTGGCAGCAGAGCAGTTTTTCACCTTTTTTTTTTTTTTTTTTTTTTTTTTTTAAGATTTTATTCATGAGAGATACACAGAGAGAGGCAGGGACATAGGGAGAGGGAGAAGCAGGCTCCCTGTTGGGAAACCTGATGCACGATTCAATCCCAGCTCCCCAGGATCACGACCTGAGCCAAAGGCAAATGCTCAACCACTGAGCCACCCAGCCTTCCAGTTTTTCACTTTTTATCAAGGGGAGAGTGTGGCAAAAGAGAGCCATGAGAGGGAATGCTAGGCAATGTCTTGCCGATCTGACCACTGCATCCCCTGCCAACAGTAAGAGGGGGAGCTGTGTGCAGTGGTGCCGGTAGAGACTGCCAGGGAGATGTCTCAGGTTTGGGGAAGGCCCTGCCTGGCCTTGGAGGAGTTTCTGTGGAATTCCCATCTGTGTATGTTTCGCCTCGCTTTTGATCTAGATTACAAATTGTATCTTCTGTTTGTATAAGAGGAAGAGTGGGGCGCCTGGGTGGCTTAGTTGGTTAAACATCTGACTGGATTTTAGCTCAGGTCATGATCTCAGGGTCCTGGGATTGAGCCCCATGTCAGGGTCCGAGTTCATCGGGGACCCTGCTTGAGATTCTCTCTCTCGCTTACCTTCTGCCCCTCCCTCCGCTCTGTCTCTCTCTGAATAAATAAATAAATTCTTAAAAAAAAAAAAAGGTGGAAAAGGAAATGCAGGCCATGCATTCTGTGTTTTAGTGTACAAGTTGAGTGTAATCCAGTCCTCCCCTTGCTCTCTAATGTCACTTCATTTTGATGAAAGCAGAGACTCTCAGGGCAGTGCTTCTTCACTGGCAAGCCACAGAGGGAGGGTGCACTGGGGGAGTAAGAGCCACACCCCTTCTGTGGGAAGCCTCTGGAGAGGAGGGGGGAGGGGGAAGAGAGGCAGGGGAGGGGGAAGAGAGGCAGGGGAGGGGCAGACCCCAGGGGAGAAGGGCTTTGATTTTGTTTCCAGGCCTCTAGGCTAATCCAGGGTTAGGATTAAGAGTCCAAATTCCTTGCTTATCCCTGGACTCAATGACTCCCTTTATGAAATATGCTGATGGGGCCCTTTGTTTCAGCTGGTACTACGGAAAGAAATAGAATTCTATCATTACTAGTTATAACATTAGCCAATTTCTCTTTCAAAAAAAGAAAAGAAGGACACCATGTTTGAAAATCAGCCTCTGAAATGTCCCCAATGTGACTTTGTACTCATTGCAAATGGCCTTCTTCTGGGACTCTAAATTTATTTATTTATTTAAAATTTATTATTTTTTTATTTTAAATTTAAATTCTTAAAATATTTTTTCATGAGAGACACAGAGAGGCAGAGACACGCCCTAAACCAAAGGCAAATGCTCAACCACTGAGCCACCCAAGTGCCCTGGGACTCTAAATTTAGCAGCACTTACACTAAGAAAGTGATCATCTTTGACAAAAGAATGGCTTGGGCAGCCCCGGTGGCTCAGCGGTTTAGCCCAGCTTTCGGCACAGGGCCTGATCCTGGAGACCCGGGATGGAGTCCCATGTC